ATAACTCCTCTTTGAACGGATTTCCGCCTTGTCGTAGTGGAGGGGGGGGGGGGGTTAGTAGCCGTAGCTTGGCTGGTGGAGTTGCGGATGTGCTTGAAAGCGTTTCCGTGGCCCTGTCAATGTGTGGTTAAGGTGGGACATCATGGGGTTTTAGTACGTGCAAGTCCGACATAATCCGTTCATTATATTAATATGATTCATAAATAGAATGGACTGTATGGGTAAGCCTGGGTATAGAATTTTTATCGATATGTTTTGTCACACTGTCTTATCTCTATTATTAGTTCCGTGGACGTTCACTTCTGCTGTCAGCGCCAAAATGGCGAAAATCAAATCTCCTCATTATGTCACGGTTTTAGCCAGTCCATATTATATATATAGAGGTCAGTGTTTCAAACACTAATAAAGGTAGCTAACCTACCTTTATTAGTGTTTGAAACACAGGTTAGGTAAACTTAAAAATTAATAATGCTACATACGTGACAGCAAAAACGTCATTAGAACTAGGGAGGGAACACTGAACGGTGATTGGTCACTAGAGGAAGCGCGGGGATAAAAGCGGGGTGCGGGCGCCGAAACCGCATTCCGCATAAATTTTTGGCCAAATTGTTTATTATTATAACTAGGGATGCTCGATGTTGCAGAAACATCGATGATGACATCGTTGTTGGCATCGATAGCTCAACATCGATGTTCGATGTTTAGCCTACTCAAAACATCAATGTTGACCATTATCAATGTTTTTTGTATATGTTTAGATACTTACATATTGTTTTAAAATTATATGGGTATACACAGCAAGGGAAAAAGTAACAATTAACTTGAATATCACACGTAGAATAGTTATTTTGCGACAACGACACTACAAAATAAAGCGAAAGCAGTGACCACTGTGACATTACAGGTGACACTTGACAATTAAGTTTGACACACCATAATGATATTTTTTTAGGTTAGCGATGTGTTCAGGAATTCTGAATTATTCAAAACTTTAAATCTTCAGAGGAGGTGCAAGATTTAGTTGATATTGACTTTGCGGGTTCGCATTGTTCGCAAGTTCCCAATAATCGATTATGGGTTCATTGACATCGATGTTTAACATGTGTTATCATTACGTGGTAGAGCCATGCTGCAGCTATATTAGTAGTATAGTTGTAGCACGAATGGGTCGCCTCGACCGGGGAAGGACCACGCTCTTACAGAATACCAGCGTAAAATAGCAGCTTAACACTGCTGTGTTTCGTATGGTGAGTGTAGAGAACCGGAGACCCTTTTTACTGGAAAAGAGGCATTCCATCTTAGTCCTCACGGGTGACAACACATCTGCATTTTGATTCGCAAACGAGGATAAATGTAGATGTATATGGGCCATAGTCAGGGCCGGATTAACCATGTCGGGGGCCTTAGGCAATGGCATTCTCGGAGCCCCACAGAGGAGAGTAAAACTTTTTAAATGAAATTCATTCACATTCGCAAAAACCACAAAACAAAATTACAGATCAAGCATTTCAAAACGTTTGTATATCATACAATACGCTACGTAACGTATCCATATTATTAGTTCTACTACTCGATACTAGATGGTTCTGTTCTGTAAGTATGAAGTATTTCATCAACTGACAGTATGCGTCGCTAAAACATAATTTCCAATTACATTTTCTCTGTATGTAACATTTTCCATTATATTTGTGCGCGCACGGGGCCCCTGCCCGATGCGGGGCCCCTAGGCAGTTGCCTACTCTGCCTAAAGGTTAATTCGGCCCTGATTCGCTGCACTCAATAACTCGTAGGTCATTACTTACGAGCCTATTTCGATAAATATACTATACTATAGTATTAATAGATACTTTTGTGTCGTAGCCGTCACGGTTATTATCAACAGCCTCCGGTAGTCTTCTAATGCATAAAAAAGTGTGTAGGTATGTAGTACTTGCATACATAAGTGTATGCAAGTAGGAAGTTATACTTCTTTAGCGTAACAAAACAAAAAACTTGAGAGACAATTACCCACTGAAGTTGTCGCTTTTAGGTGTTAGTGTGCGCGCGCGTCGTATCTAACAACTTCATGGTGTCGTTTTTAGGTATCCGTGTGCGCGTGCATCGTAAAAAATCACTCTTATCATTTTTCCCTAACGCCCAAAAAGAAGTATAACTTCAAAAATCGAGGGAGCTGAAAGTGACTTCACATACCGTCTTATCACCAAACGTGTTTTTTGTTGGTCTCGGGCTTAAACTGGTTTATGAAGAGTCCTAACCTCTTTGGTCCTAACTAAAGAAGTCTCAGCCGCGGCGCCAGTTATCGCGATATTTGACATTTTTGGTGTTAAATTCTATATTTTTTGAATCGCATACTTCCGTAGGGCTTAAACTAAAACTTAAAATAAAATTACCATTTTTGTGTTAAACAGATTATAGTTTAGCCTGAGACTAATTATTATGAACATAATACGGCCATGTATTTTCAATATTTGTAGGAAAGCCGAGTCCCTACGACTGAAATTTCTGTCCAGGCGTAAAAAAAACCGAATATGTTAATGGTTGTACGCGTGCTGTGTAAGAACAGGGTCGTATAAGCCGAAATTTGAGATTCGTCTATAGTTTATCACACTATGGTAAAAATGAAATGAAAAGTAGTTGTTAATATTTGAAACTAGCTCTTTCCCCGCAGCTTTGTTCGTGTATATTTCAGTTTACCAACATCAGTAATTTTGTAGTTAGTTTCATCATAGTAATTCCATACTATGCCAAAATTTACAAACGAAACACATGGGACCACATCGGCGTCTGTCTGTACCTACAATAGATGGGAAATAAACGTTTTGAGTATTGAATTGTTTTTTTTTTACCACTTTTTACTCAAGAACACATAGCAGATCAAGGGCCCCTCGATAGAATTTGCTACGGGCCACGTGCTTGCTTAATCCGGCACTGAATCCAACTACTTACATAAATTGTATAATATAGTTGGTTTGCTTACATCATAATTACAGTCTATCAAAGTCCACTTCTAAACATAAGCTTCTAAACATAAGCCATAATTGCCACGTTATAAAGAATAATATAGTCCACCAGAACGAATTTGGATCACAGCGGCCAGTCATAACATCTGCGCAAGGCGGGATTATAGAGCACGAGTGTGTACTCTCAGTCTGAGAGTACCTACACACTCGTGCTCTACAGACTGTAGGTAGTGTTACAACTTTTTTTTTAATAAAATTGAAGTGGCAGACGAGCTTACAGCCCACCTGATGGTAAGTGGCTCTTGCACCCCATGGACACCTACTACAGACGCGTTGAAACTTACTTTACGTAGATGGTTAATATTTAGCATAGTTGAAATAACATCCTGACTCCAAGCTGCTATTGAGAATTTCTTGTCATAAAAAAAACGATTCGAACTCGGGACCGCATGTTCTACAGTCGCGTTTTTTTTTTAAATAGAAATAGGGTGACAATCGAGCACACAGTCCACCTGATGGTAAGTGGTTGCTGAGGCCCATAGACATCTACATCTATACCCGTTTGCGAATCAAAATGCAGATGCGTTGTCAGCCTTGAGGAACTAAGATGGAATGCCTCTTTTCCAGTAAAAGGGGTCTCCGGTTCTCTACACTACTACTACTACAACTGTACCATAAATATAGCTGCTTGGCTCTACCACGCTTAAGGCCACTAGGCCAACGAGACAGTATATAAAATGTACTAAAGCTAAATTAATGTCTGTTAGAATTTTGTCTGAGAATACACACTCGTGCTCTATAATCCCGTCTTGCGCAAATTTTAAGATTGGCCGCTGTGATCGAAATTCGTTCTGGTGGACTATATTATTCTTTATAGCGTGGCAATTATAACAATTATCCTCTTCGGAAAGCTTATGTTTAGCAGTGGACTTTGATAGACTGTAATGATGATGTAAGCAAACCAATTATATTATACAATTTATATAAATAGTTGGATTGCTGTTTTATATGGTAATGCTTGATAAACATTCTCAAATTTTTATCGATAAAAGTCCATTTCAAATTTATATCGATAAACCACAACAAAACTACTTAAGTAAAATAATTAACATGACTTATTAATTTGTTGATACTTAATAAAATCAACAAATTAATAAGTCATCTGGTTACTAAATATCTGCCGATTTTTATATTAGGTTTGGGGAAGTTGCGGTTAATGGTCTTATATTTGGCAAATTGATAAAAATTTGGTCAAATAACTACTAAAAAGTTTGGCGCACTTAGTCGAGTAGGACAGTGTTTCACCCCGGCACACCGCTTGCAGCTTTACAAAGCGTAAGTTCAATCTCATATCAAAATATAACACTGTTCATCTCATCTCTAGGGCGCATCGCATCCAGTGAAGAGTGGCCCGAATCGTCGACGATCAAGATCTTTCTGTTTGGCTTGACTCACTAGTAGTGCTAAGAGATGTTGCATTTTTCATTCACACACATTTATCATGAGCAGTGCTTAAAGGAATTGTTCGGATTAATTCTAGTCCCGCCAAATTCCTCTATCGCACATCGCGACAAATTTCGTGGTAACATATACATGTGGTATACTACAGTGGGATTTACCAGAAGTTTTCTTTGTCACAACACTTGTTTGTGAAATCGGCTGATACTTTGAAAGGCCAGCATCCCACCTGCCACTCCCCTGGTATTGCAATTGTTCATGGGCGCCGGTCGATACTTACCATCAGGTAAGTTGCAAGTCCCTTTGCCTCCTTTTCTATAAAAAAAGCACGCAAATAACCCCTCGAACGTAATAAAATGCAGTTATTACGAGTATATTACATAGGTTATATTACAGATATATACTTCAATTTTATTTATATGTAGGTATAGATGTAGATATATAAAAACATGTTTAAATAGCGTCGTCATGGAACAAGGTATATTCATGTCAAAATAAACAATACATCAACTAAAAATTTTATTACTTAGGAAAAAATTCGGTTGTTAAATAAATACATACATTTTTTTTTAATATACACTATTAGTTGTTCTTTAAATTATTAGTTTTCTTGCTTTTAACATATGATTTGTAATAGAAGTCACTAAATAAAATGACCATAAAGAGATTCTGAGGAATTATTATGTAAGCAGGCTGCCTGGGATACGCACAGTCCTTGGCTACAACGAGCATCAGAAAGTGTAGCAGGAGTATGGAGAATTGTAACTGAAATATATCAATAATGCATAGTTAATAAAGTATCATCCTTCAATCGCGCTAAAAGGACGGGTTTCATCTCACTAGAGAGGATATGGGAATGTCGCTGTGCGATATCAGCATAAGGGAATATATGACGTTATCCTCATAATTATTATGTTAGGTGGGTGTCTTAAGAAGAGACTACGATATGCCATAAAGTTTATGACCTCTGACAGACGACAATATAACCATCACACGATGGATAGCAGGGCAGCAATTATCTTTACATGGTAGAGCCATGCTGCAGCTATATTAGTAGTATAGTTGTAGCACTAATGGGTCGGCTCCACCGGGGAAGGACCACGCTCTCACAGAATATCAGCGTTAAATAGCAGCTTAATGCTGTTGTGTTTCGCGTGGTGAGTATCGAGAACCGGAGACCCTTATTACTTTGCGCATCTGCATTTTGATTCCTCTTCGAGTAGGTAGATGTCTATGGTCCACAGCATCCATTTACAATCAGGTGGACTATCTGCTCCTTTGTCACCCTTATACTAAAAAAAAAATAACATCCGATATTGGACAATTTTTTGGTACTTACGATTTGTATTTGTGTAACGTGCTTCTTCCACCACATAGACTTTTTGTAGGATTCATCCCAAACAGTCAGCAAGTAATAGGTATACATAATTATGTGAACGAATGAATTTATAGTGACCAGAAGCGTCATGTGCCCACCTATGTACAATAAAATGTAATTAAATATATTATCTACAGTACAGCCTCGATAATCCGAACGACCTACCCCCATGCTCAAGTAGATAATACTATTTAAAAAAAATATTGCTAAATTGAGGGATAAAGCATTTTCTTTGTCATTAAACACCACTCCTTAAAGTACTATACTAGATTTTTTTACAATTAATGCATATTGATTAAAATTTGTATTCACTTTCGATTACAAAATCTGTTTTTTTTTTTCAAAAAATCACTAAAATATCTACATAATATAATCCGAACGCCTCACTAATCCGAACAGGGTGTAAATTTTGTGTGTTCGGATTATACTCATATGTATTTGAAGATTATGTCTATTTGAAGGTCCGTTACCCTCTCGATAATGAGAGGATTAAAAGGGAGAGAATTTACCACATTGCTTCAGTGCGTTAAATTTTAAATGACCTTACATTGCATAAACTTGAAATATAATTATTTTCGACAGTGTAGATTTCATCACGATGTTTTTCTTAACATCCGAGTTCTTTTAGCTGACATAGACATAAGGTTGAACTTGAAGGGCAGCAGTGCTCTGTTTCCATGAAGAATGCGGTAGTTTATAATTCTTTGAAAACTACATATTTGTGTCAGCTATATCAGATCTCTTTCGCAAATATTCTTATTTCGTCCAAGGTAAGACTCCTGTCTTGCCTACGAGTCCGTCGAGGTAGGTACTACCCTCCTCCCTTTTTCTGCCGTCAAATAGTAGCGCTTGCACTGCTATGTTCTCATCTGAAGGGTACAAGGAGCCAATATAATTACAGGCTGTGAGGAATTCCATCTCATCATTTCAGTCTCCAGAAGTGATAACGTATCTGTAGCCTTTTTTGTTTGAAGTTGTCTGCTCGTATAGACTGCGTAGCCACCACGGAGCAAATACAAAGAGGAGACGGCCTAACCAACTGTGCACTGTGATTCTAACTAGGTCCTGACGTCATCATAATTAAATATATTCGACATTAGATGGCGATACTTTGTGTCATGGGAACTAAAAATATAAAGTAACGTAGAGCTCAGTATTGGTAAAATTATCTTACGAAGGTGCTGAAATTTTAATCGTCAAAATATTATTTTTATAGTTTTTTATCATCATCTTGGGAACAGACCGCCACCTGTCGTCAAGGTAGCTAAGCTACATTGTAACATCGATATGGAAAGATGCAAGTAGTTTTACTATTTATCGGTATATGAAAAATATTTAAGTGGGCGGGGCTTAACATCCCCTCACCCCGCAAATTGTCACGCGTTGTTACATAGTGAAATCTAATTACAACACTTCTTTGTATTTGCTCCGTGGTAGCCATTCACCATCATGTAGGCTGTAGGTTCGTTTGTTACTTTAGTTTTGTGAAAAAAAATTGTCCGAAATTCGTTCTGGAAAACATTATTATTAACAATGTAAATACGTTTTGTTTTTAAAGCTGATCCCCATCGCTAGAGCAGGTAAGTACCTATAGTATGACCTACCAAATAAAATTGAGTCACGACCCGATAAGGAATAAAGGGAATCAATGGATGCAGATGGGTCAAAACTGCTTTGTGACAATCTCGTAGACAGGCCTAATTTCAATGATGAGCAATGCAATGGTGTTAATTTAATTAGGAATATGTAAATCCTGAGCTGAAACTTCTGAATTTTAAATAAACCGTTGTGTAATTGGAATCCACAAGGACGTCACTATTCTTATTATTAAAATATGTCGTATTAAGCTTTAACAGAATATATTTACCTGGTACCCATTTCACCATTCCCCAAGCGACAGCAACCATTCCAAAGTGGTGATAGACATGCAAGAATGTCACTTGATTCTGTTTCTTCCTTAAAACGAAAAATACCTGCATCGAATTTAATATTAGGTATTAAAATTTTTTTTGTATGCAGCTAATAGGTTCTTATCGACCGGTTCGAACCGGCTTCGCACGGGTGATTTCTGGATCCCGACAACAGTGCCACCTACCGGGTCTAATCTAAACAATTCTCGAATCAAATTAACACAAACAAAATTTCATAAAAATTGGCCCTGCCTGACCGTTAAGGAGGAGCTTAGTCACGTACACACGGACGGAAGAATACTTATATAAAGATTAACGAATTCTCTGTTATGAATTCAACACTCATCATATCATTACGTCAAACTAAAAGAAGTAAAATGAGACTAGACGAACTCATGCATACTGAGCAAAATCTTTTATTTCTGAGACAGTTTGGTGTAGAGAAAAAGAAACACGCGCTGGGCTGATCCAGTATGTGTTTGGGAACTTCACATGCTCTCAAATAATATTTTTTTTTATTTGCTTAGACTCACAATATAATCAATATAATATCGTAAAAAAAGTTATGAGATATTTTCCTTTCACGTAAATCTCGAAAACCGATTTTTTCGCATATAAACTCAATGACCTTCAAAAATTCATTCAGCGTAAATAGACCTCCCAATACTAGAGACATCCTACGAATGCAAGATCAGCATATACTAGTTTTTAGAACAATAGATAATAATACCACTATTAGTAAACACTTACTTGGTCGATAAAAGAAAGATATTGAAAATAGAAGCACTTCTCATTGCCACTCTTTCATTAATAATGCCATTACGTGACGCATGTATTTGTAAATAGCAAAAAATGTGTGTGACCGCTTCGTGGCGCAGTAGCTTAGCAATGGATTGCAGCGCTAAGGGCCGCGGGTTTGAATCCCGCACAGAACAAGTAATTGTACGACCTACAAATAATTGTTCTGGGTCTGGATATCCTTGCGAAATCTATGTATGTAAACTGCCCCCGTGATACAGGAGAAACTCCTAGTGTGGAGGTAACGTTTTTTTTAAAAACAGAGGAAGAGAGATAAGTAATGAAATTAAAAATTTTGTAGGTACAACCGACTTCAATATTAATACGCATTATAAAACGTATTATTAAGGATAACTCCAAAACTACTGGTCAGATCTTGATCACATTTATATGCGACATATAAATTATAAGCACCAGCTTTCAAATAAAACAGAATCATCAAAATGGGTTCACATAGAAAAAAGTTCTGAGGTAACACTTTAAAAAATTAAAGGCGAATTAAGTACCTCCTCCTTTTCCGAAGTCGGTTAAAAATGGTAAGTAGATAACATTCGTGTTATTATAATCTTTATTTTTCTCGATGTTGCATATTAACCTTCCTCACATTGAACAATTATGTTCTTACTTTTAACAAATTTTTAATACATTGCATAACACTTCGGTGTATTATACTACCAACTAGTATCAAAGGATTCAATTTGTTTTCTCACAACACCTAACCCTACAGTAGGAGCGGCCTTAACGCGTAACGGGCTAAATGATTCAAACTCTCGGACGCGGACGTAAGGTGCATTTTGATTTAATACGTACGCGCGCCGCAGTATTTTTTTTCGACGTTTTAATCAGTAGGTAGGCAAATTTAACGAAGATCGTATACGAGGCGTACAAAGTATTATGAACATTAGGACGTTGAAACTAGGTTTAAACTCACAAGTTTGCTATCGGAGAGTGATCCTTCTATTATTGTACTATTATTTATTCTGTGATAAAAATATGGATTTGATGTCTAGCTAAAATTATAAGAACAGTTTTATGTAGCGAAATTGAGGTATGGCCACATATCTATCAACATATATCATATAGAGTAGAGCACTCTCTCAAGTTGTGAGGCGTACAATAACTGGTTTCTATTAAGTTTACGGGGTTATTTGCATACTATTAAGACATAAATAAACATTTTAAAATTTTTTGTATGTATGTCTGTCTATCTGTCCGGGCTAATCTTTGAAATGGCTGAACCGATTGTAATGAAATTTTACTTATTTATTTCTGTACTTATTTATCTAGGTTGGACGGATTGAGGTATGGCCACATATCGAGAGTAGAGCACTCCCGCACGTTGTGAGGCGTGCAATAACTGGCTTCTATTAAGCTCACAGGGTTATTTGCATACTATTAAGACATAAATAACCATTTTTAAAATTTTCCAATAATCTTTGGAATGGCTGAACCGATTGTAATGAAACTTTACTACTTTGAAAATAGTGTAACTATTTCAGTGGTGGCGGCGGGTCTCAAGCTCGCGTTGTTTTGAATTCCATAAAATTTAAAAAACACGCACTTACTGAGTTACCACGGTTGCAGCTGTTGTGAAATGGCTAGGTATATGTTTACAAGAATTTATCTACCTACCATACGTGGTAGAGTCATACTGAAGCTATATTATTAGTATATTTGTAGCACGAATGGGTCAGCTCAACCGGAGAAGGACCACGATCTCATAGAATACCAACGTAAAATAGCTGCAATTTGATTTATTGTCGAGGATACATGTAGATGTCTATGGGCCACAGCAACCACTTATGTGGACTGTGTGCTCGTTTGTTACCCTTATAAAAAATATCAGTGACCTGTATATTTGCTTTTTAGGTGAATTTGGATTTGACCGTCGCTTCATCAGTATTGTGCTCTCTGATTTAGACGTAAAACATTTCAAGATTTAACACAATGTCAGTTTGTGTTATATTACGATGTTAATATTTCTGTGACCGTATTGTTTTGTGGTCAGTACCAGCCTATTAAGGTTAAGCACTCCTGGGTTCAAATCCCAATTGGAAACAAAACTTGCGCAAAAACACCGAGCTAGGCAATGGAGAAAGCAAAAAGCTGGTATAACTGGGCAGTTAAGTCTTAGAAGGTTTCTTAAAGAAGAAAGGTTTTTGAAATAATTAATTTATGGATAATAGGAAAACACCGCAGTATTAGATATTTAATGTATCGTATCGTGTAAAAATATTTTTAACCCAGGAAGAAAACGGGGAGGTATATATTTTGTATTGACTAAACGCCGCCTGGATATCGCCTTTAAATCGCATACAAGTGGTTGTTCAAGGGTTGCTTCAGTTCAGGGTATTTTATTAGCTTTGGGAGAATTGACCAGAAAACCTGCACTGAATGAGCATTCTGCTCCTGAAATGCAGGTTTGTGATATCCACCTACTTTGTTTTATTTTCAGAATTTTAAATTATATTTAATTTGCTGTTTGGTGTCGGTGAAGCGAGTCCATCACTCCATTGCGTCCCGTGGGAGTCGTAAGAGGCGAGTTTCTATAGGAATTACAGATAAACTATTATCTAGCTATGAGGAGCTCAGCGTCAAAGGCGAGAGATATCTGTACTACAAGAATCAAGCTGCCTCGATTATGGCATAGCCTTCCTGCAATGGGTGAGACCTATGTCCAGCTGTGGACACTTAGGGCTTGAACAAGCAGAATAATGCTTAGAATTTTTTACAATAATTTTTAGTTTTTACCATTTTGTATAAAAATAATATTTGACATGATAAAAAAAACAAACCGTGTCGAGTAAGTCAATTATCTTGATTACAAAGTATGTGTAACAAACTTTCCAGGCAAATTCAATACTGTTAGGACCGTCGTCCACGGGTTGGCAAACAAACTTGTAATGACTTAACCATCCCAATTTCAAGCTCTGAAAATAAAAGCAGATTAAACAATATTAAAAAATTAAATACAGTACTAATCATAAAAAAATCATATAAGTATATCATATCATCAGTGGATGGCAGCAGCGTCTTCCTGATATTATATACTATAATAACTCAAAATATCTAATAAAACTATAGGCCGATAATTGCAAAATAACCCTGTATAATTCACCACGTTTTAATGCCTTTCTTAGTTCGGTATTCAGAGTATACCTTATAGTATACCTTCTTTAAGCCTTCTTGGTAGTTACCACCTTCTATACCGTCTCTACTTATTTCTCTCGCCAAATATACATGTACGGTCTTTCGATTCCCGATCTGAAGAGTATAGAGAGCCAGTATAATTACCCGCTGTGAAGCATTACCCCTAGTCCTCAGAGGTGAGAACGCATTTGTAGTCCTTTCTTTGCTAGCTTGCGGACTCACGGTGAGCTAAAGAAATCACACAGCCAGTAGGCAAATTGTAAGTTCCTTTGTCACTTTAAATTAAAAAAAAAACGGTCTGACAGAACGAATGATCATAATATACGTACATAGATACATACATAGTCTGATGAAATCATAACCCTCATTTTGGCTATGCCGTTGTGGGGTAAAAAACGAACCAAAATGGGCATCACGGACTTACTAGACTAGAGATTATTGGCAAAATTTCCTCCTATCACTAGTCACTATCACTAACATTAACAAAGTTTGCTAGTCTGTTTGTTTTATTTTTTCTACCAACTATGAAAATAAAAAAAATATAGCTGTGTATGTAATTGTGTTATTAACCATTTGCCATTTGTAAGGGCTTTAATTACTAAATCTTCAGGGCTAAATCATTATAAGCAAGGAATACTAATTGTTGGGAAAGAATAGCATGCACTTTATAATTTTTTTTCTGAAATAGTGGATCTAGACTCCCTCGGAGCTTATAAGTATTGTATCAATGTATAAATGTGCGCATTAAATTAACATTAAAATTTTTGATACACTAAAAACCTCCAACTTAAAATAGATACGAAACTACATAAATGTGAAATTAAAACTTACTTGGTAAACAACATAAAAACAGTAGAGTATCTGAATAATGTTATACAAAGCTATTGTTTTCCGGAGGTTATATGCAGGTCGCTTGCTCATATATTCGGGCAACCACTTGAATACTGCCATTAAATAAATCACGAGTATGGCTAAACCAGGCCACGGTGTTCTCATAAGAGGCCAGTCTTGCGTTCTCTCATCTGGAAACAAAAATTAAATTATTAATGTTAGAAAATAAAAAATAAATGTAGTCGCGCCATAAAATTAATATTTATATGTGTGAGTATATATCATAATCATCGTCATTATCATCAACATTACAGCCCTTCACAAGTCCACTGCTGAACATAGGCCTCCCCCAAGGAATGCCACAAAGCACGGTCCTGAGCCACCTGCATCCATCGACTTCCTGCACATCTCACCAGGTCTCCACTCCATCTAGTGGGGGGACGCCATACACTTCGCTTACCGGTACGAGGCTGCCACTCGAGAACCTTTTTTCCCCATCGGTTTGCGGTTCTTCGAGCTATATGATTGGCCCATTGCCACTTCAGCTTACCAATCCGTTGGGCTATGTCGGTCACTCTAGTTCTACTGCGGATATCCTCATTTCTAAGTTTATCACGCTGAGAAACCCCGAGGATAGCCCTCTCCATAGATCACTGAGCGACCTTGAGCGTCCTCATACGGCCAGCAGTGAAGGACCACGTCTCAGATTCATAAGTCATCACTGGCAACACGTTTTCAGGTTTCCCGAACGTGGTCCAGCCGAGTTGAATCCGTCGATAGACCTCTCGGTCGAAGTTGGACTTACCTAATCGGACTATTTGTCCTAGGTAAACATACTCGTCAACAACTTCGAGTTTGGTGCTCCCAACAACTACTCGCATAGGTGTGACATGGACGTTACACATGACTTTTGATAAGATTGAAGTTAAGATAATAAGCAAATAAATAAACTGGGGAAAAATGAAAAACATAATATAGTGTAAATAAAGTATAGTAGATTGGGTCCATCTAGGATTAGGATTTAAGTTTACGATGGTGTTGTAGATTAAATGATTTACGTGAATAAATAAAAAAAAATTATTTTAAAAAATATATTGACTGTCTTATATCTATATTTCAATATCAAAGTTATATTTAAATATATGTCGTCCAAAAATATTAAAAATAAATATCGATATTTCTAAATAATAAAATAGATTTTTCGATATATTGATATTTTGTCAACAGTCCTAGTTCAAACGTGGGGCGTGGCCGTCGGCGTTTGGTTTGCGTGACTCCTATAAAATATGATATATATAGATAAATTAAATGATAAATAATAATATCTAAATCTTATTTAATATCATTTCCTGTCTATTAATATATATCTATACAAATAAATAAAATTGAAGTGTCTATTTGTAATGTCAAAATAACAGTTTTTTACTAAATGCATATGAAAGTGCATACGGTACTTATAACAAAAACACAATTTTTAAAATCTTTGTCTATTTTTCTGTCTGTCTGTCTGTCTGTTTGTTCCGGCTAATCTTCGAATCGGCTGAACCGATTTTGACGAGACTTTCAATGGCAAATAACTGATATTATATGGAGGAACTTAGGCTACTTTTAATTTAGAAAAAGAATTAGGGTTCCGTGCAAAAAATTAAAACCCATGAAATCCAATTGTAATAAATTACACGCGGGCGAAGTCGCGGGGAAGAAGCGGGGAAGCTAGTTAATAGATAGAAAATGATATTTTAATTTATAGGAGTCACGCCAACTAAACGCGCACGGCTGCGGCTCCATCGATCTAGAAATTAAATCCGTTCCGTATATACGTATATATATAAATAACGTTTCCTGTATATTAACACTTCAAAAGATATTTTTATTCATGATAAGGTCAGTATTAAGACACTTTCAAGAAATGGGTCAGATATTATGATAATTTTATTCATTATGGTAAATTTTATTTATTTAATAAATGTATTATTTATTTCTATCTGTTTATTAAATTACCTACTGTAGAGCGGGCGACACCCCACTGATACTAACTTGCACTCCGGTTACGGTGAGCCCAAAAAATCCGTGGGCATGGGCACATTCTGAAGGTCTTATGATGACCAGATAATGCTTATCGATTTTCAGTAACGGAAATAGTTAGGATGGCCTAGCTCTCTATGTTTATCTAATTGAGCTCTCGACTAAAATAAATCTATACATATAATAAAACTGTAAATAGCAGATGTCTGTACATTTTATAATTTTGTAATAAAAGTGATTGAGGGGTACTAAAAATAAGTAATTAAATACATTTCTACCATTTTTAGAATTTTCTGTCTGTCTGTCTTTCTGTCTGTCTGTCTGTTTGTTTGTTAACGTATCACGTTTAAAATACTAATTTATATCATAAGAATTGTTAAGGAAATTCTAAAGTGTACCTTCGGGTTACATTTAGTCTTTATTTCATTAAAATCGGTTCATTCCATCAAAAGTTATGATAAATATTCTGAAGTATGGGTAGGGAATTTGCTCAACGGTGGCTATGTTTGAGTCATTAAGTTGATGTTAGCAGCGCCATCTCTCTTTAATTAAATATATACATATAATAAAAATGATGATAACATGTTGTGTCTCTTTCTGTACATTGTATATATATTTTGGTGACTAAAATCATTATGGGGAACTAAAAATAATTAAATAAGTACATTTTTATAATTTTTAGAATCATCTGTCTGTCTGTTTGACTGTTTTTATATGAACGCATCACGTCTAAAGTAAACATCTTTTTTTTTTTCAAAGAAATCGTTAAGAAAATCATAAAGCGTATCTTCAAGTTACATTTAATCTTTGTTTTATTAAAATTGGTTAATTCTATCGAAAGTAATGATTATTATTTTAAAATGTAGGTTCGAATTTGTTCAATGGCGCCATAAAAATCTCAGAAATAGTAATAAAAAGATTTGTGTGTAAAAAAAACGTTCCATAATAATTAATATATTTATACTTAAAACATAAAAAGAGATTTAAAAAAGGATGTTTTCTCACACAAAGGACGTAATAGATGGAGTTGTACAAATTACAAACTTTTCTGATTTGCTGTGTTGAGATTTTTCTCCGATGAATCGTATTGAGACTTACTGAAGAAATTTGTATCTATCGAAGCCATACAACGGAACCCGAACAAAAATAACAAAATTGCAACGAAATGTCGTGATATTGTATTTATAATATACGCAAAATCAGTACTGCCATTTTAGCGCTTTGGGAACTAGATTTAGCGCTTTTTTGGAATGTATAGCGTGCATTTCGAAATTTTAGCACCTAGTACTTAATCCAGCGCTTTTTGGTGTATTTAGCACACATTTCAAAATTGTAGCGACTAGCGGGTTATCAACTCTTTTATAGCAGCAGTGTTAGTCCACATTACCGATAAATAATAATGACCTTTATTATTTTTTTCCACAAATAGTACTTACATTGCAGTTTATCTTTTTCAAACATATTTTTTCCACAAAACATGGGAAACGAGTCCAAACTAGGATACCCTGTGCTATGGATCTCCCAGCTTCCCCTTTAGGATGATCAACTTGATTTTTTTTATCGACGACTATAAGCGGGGAAATCCCCTTCATTAAAGTTTTCGTTCATGGTTTTGGCAACGCATTTAAATTTGTTTTATTCAGTTTTAGTCAGTTGTTTAGAGCACAGCTAAGTTAAAAGTTACTTAGAGTAGTACTAACTACTGTTGACAGCAATTGCCATAATTATAAGTCGATGTCCTGCGAAGTATTGATACATCAAAAAATATTGCCAGAAAAAAACTTAATGTTGTTTTCTTTATTATGATTATATTTTCTTGAATTATAAATTATAATAAAAAACACAAACTTTGTTTGTAGTTAATTTAGCGCGAAATCTAGGGCTTTTTTAAAGCGCTGTTTTCATGAAATCTAGCGCTTTTTGTGTTGTCCTAGCGCTGAATGAGTTTTTTTGATCTGGCAGCACTGCCAAAAAACCCTCTATTAAGAAGTAACTTTCCTTTCAGTTTTAAGCGCGTTCAGTTCCCAGTTACAGTCAGCGTGTGTTATGCGATGACCGTAAATATAGCGCAAGGTCAAAATTTACGCGTTGTAAGAGTGGACCTCAGTACTGACTGTTTTGCACATGGCCCGCGTTAGTAGCCCCCGTAACCTTTTTTGTGTACATCCCGTCTAAGTCTACTTCTAACGTCGTTTACACCGAAGCTCTATCATAAACTACTTAGAACTTTGATGATAATGATTTATTTGTTACCACTTATTGATACAGTAATGATATAAATCGTTTAATATTCTGTTACCTAAATGACAAATTCTTTATGTAAAATCTATATACGCGAGCTACGCCGCGGGCACAGCTAGTACTAAAATAAAGTTGAAGCACCCAAACGTCACGAATTAAAATAAGTTAAAGAAAATAAAATCCGTAAAGGCTGTTTTATTAAATGTGTAGTATTCGTATAATTAATCAGTCAAAAATCATTGAATTCTAAATACTGAGTACAGGTTAACTTGGCCATTTATAGGAATTGGTGTTAATGGTGCTTGCAGGCGCGGTCGCAGCCTGAAATTTTGGAGGGGGTCACTAATAATAAAATATGTAATGTAAATTAAACTTTATTGCATAATACACAAGTTTATTGCACACATTATAAAACAAATGGAAGTCAGGGGCTAGGCAGGACAGTACCCCGGGCCCCCAAGCTAAAGGGGCCCCTCGGCCTCCAAGAACGACGTTCGAAAAATTATGTACTAACCTAGTTGTATAAAGAATTTTCAAGTTTTAACTTTTTAGCCCTGATCGCGAACGGCTCGAACTGACATCACAAAAATTACTCCCACTTCCAGAACATAAATATAACATTGTTAGAGATACTTGTCTACTTCGTTTTATTGTGTTTTCTATATAGAAGAGTGGGAAAAACGAGCATGCGGCTCACCTGATGGCAAGTGTCGACCACCGCCTATTAACAAATACAACACCAGGGGAATTGCAGGCGCGTTGCCTGGTTTTAAAAAAGGAGTAAGCTCGTTTCTTGAAGCTCCCTAAGTCATATCGGTCCAACAGTAGTGGACCGCCGAACATCCCGATGATGTGGATTTGCGAATTGCGAATTTATATGGTCGATTTCTAATTTTGTACCTACTTGGGAGTTTTGCTGCTTTTT